CGATGCCGGGGGGCCCGGCGCGGCGGGGCGCGCCCGCGGGGCCATGAAGGCGGGCTCCGGCCATGGCCCATGGCAGCGCGGCGGTCATGCTGAAGTGCGTGGTGGTGGGGGACGGCGCGGTGGGCAAGACGTGTCTGCTGATGAGCTACGCCAACGACGCCTTCCCCGAGGAGTACGTGCCCACCGTCTTCGACCACTACGCAGGTGAGCGGGCGGGGGGCCCGGCCGCCGGCGGTGGCAGCCACCCTCTCTCCCTTCCTCCGTCCCCCCCTCCCTCCGTCCCTCGGCCTTGCCCTGCCGGGGGGCGGGGGGGTCGGCCGGCCTTTGCCCCCCTTCACCCGCTGTGTTTCTCCCCCCTCGCAGTCAGCGTTACCGTCGGGGGCAAGCAGTACCTGCTGGGGCTGTACGACACCGCCGGCCAGGTGAGTGCCGAGCCCTGCCCCCGGCCTCGGCCCCGCGCTGAAGTTAATTGCAGGGCTGCGGTCCGGGCTGGGTGATTCAGAGGCGGGTTGGCGGCGGGGGTGGGGGTGCCGGGGGGGAGGGCGACTGATAAAAAACGGCTTTAGAAGAAAACCGTGGATCCGACCCTTACTCTCGAGGGCGGGCAGGCGGAGACGGGCTTTATTTTTAGCGGTGCGTGGCCGGCTGCGGGGGAACTGCGGCCGGGGGGCCACGGCATCGCCTGGCGCTGGGCGAGCCGGCGCGCCCGGCCCAGGCTGTGCCAGCGCTGGCCGGGCATCGCCCCCGGTCAAACCCCCGCGGAGTGCCGACCCTCCCGCCGGCCTTCAGATGGGGGAAATGTGCCTCCTTTAGCTGGGAGGGAACTTGCTGCCTTAAACGCGATGGGTCGGATAGAGACCCACAATGCCGCAGCTTGCCTTGTTTACGCTTTACAGCTCTTAAATAGCTAAAAAGAGTTGTCCAACTTAGAGGTGCAAAATAATAAAATGTAATTCTCAGCCACTGCCTTTCAGATAACCTGGGTTTCTTCTGCTATCCCAGACAATTCAAGTCACTCATTTGGTTAAGATTATTACAGCCTGTTGTGAAAGATGCTATGTCAGCATGTATCTTAAGTAACTTTAATGATGGATAAAATGCTTGATGTTTGGAGGGCTCACTGGTGTAGCAGCTACTGAAGGGCTCTGAATTCAAGTCAATTCTTGGTCAGCTGAACTTGCATGGCACCAGCCGCGGGCCAAGCATGGTCTCCTGGCTTAAAGCAGCCCCAGCTCTGGGGAGATGCCTTGTCGGAAACAAAATAGTTTGTGAAGGGCCTGACCCTGGGAGGTGCAGGCATCTCCCAAGGAGGTGCAGAGCGTATATACGGAAATGCCGCATGGGTTTTGTAAAGTTGTGTATTCCTTATATTAAAACTTCTTCTTGCGGTATGAGCATGTGTTTTGGTCTCACATGACCTCAGACATGCTTCCGTGTTGTAAAGAGCAACTAGTAAGATAATCTCATTGGACTTGCATAGACTGAAGCCATATTTTTTAACCATGTTATTCCTATACTTAATTGAACAGCTGCTGCCTATATTAGTGTACCTTTTTAGATCTGCATACAGCCTTAAGTAAAGGAAGCAGCATTTAACCAGTCTTGTATATCTTTGTTAGGCCTGAAATAAGTAATAAAATTAATTCCATGAGAATTGTAGGAAACAGCTCCGTTTCCAGAAAGCTGATACCTGACGGGTACTCCCAAAAAGATGGACTTCGTGGTTGTCATCTCACTGACGTAAACACAAACTAGTCAAATTTATGCCAACTAAGTGCATTTCTTATTACTGTCATAGTCCTGTTTTTCAGTAGTAATTGGTTCAAAACACAGCTTGTAAAATATTGCTTAAGTAGGTTACAAAATGAGGATCTAGTGCTCAGGCAAATAAAGCATTTGGTTAATATGCAACTATTTTTCTCTTTTTATATAATGAGCATTGGAAAATGTGAAAGTGACCCTAGCACTACTGTACATATGCATCACTTATTTGTGGATGCTGTCTCAAACTGCTTGTGCTGGCTTGTTGCTATTAATGGGAATGTGTGTTGTTAGCTCTGTGTGGTTTTGCGGTATCCCACTCTGCCTGAATGTGCTGAGTACAAAACCGAGTGACCTTTGGCCTCGTCAAAAGCTAGTAGGGTAAACCGGCCAGTTTACAGCAAACGGCAAGCGAAGGTATTCCTGTTATACTAAGAAAAACTTTTTAGTGTGAAATTGTATATCCAGATGTGTAAAAAATTCAGGTAAGCTTTTTTTTTTTTCCCAAATTCTGAGAAGCTGAAAGCTTAAGTTTGAATTACAGAGTAGTTTCTGATGTACCCAGGACCAGATCTTGCTGGCCTAATTCAGAGGAGCATCAGCTCACATAGGGTGTTTTAATGAGGCTACCTTTACAAATATATCTGGTCTTGGCAAAACTTCCCTTTTAGTCAGACCTGCAGTGCTAATAAAGTCTACCATTATCCCCATCCCACTTCAGCATGTTTGGGGAACTGGTGGACGTCTGGGGCTGCCCACAGGAGCCCCGTCCCAACATCCAGCACACCTAAGGAGGGGAGTCTGTGTGAAGATGCCAGCCCAGCAATTTCATTCAGCTAAAAGCTGCTTTGTCAGAGAGTGTGCTGACAAGCCCATCTTCCCAGAGCTATGCACTTTAAAGCTTAAACATATATAGTAAAGAGCAGAAAAGACATGAGCTGATGGTGTCTTCTCCGTGTTGAGGAAACAGCATGCTGCATCTGGTACACACCTGCAATCAGCAGGTGCAATTGCACAGACTTCTGTACGGCTCGGATTCTTTGGTGCTTGAAGTTGGGATTTCTGTGCCAGCATACATCAGTGCTTTAATTTCTAATTCTGTCACCCCCAAATAGTTTTACTGTAAAATACTGGCCTGATAGTATCATTTTATCAAAACTTGGCAGTGCATGATCACTGTGGTATCTAAGCAGCTGCCAGTCTTCAGCATGTTTATACTCCCGGCTCTGCACAGAGTACATAGGTACAATCTGCAGATCTCATTTTGGGGGGGAGTGAGGGGATAAATGGAGGTTCAGACAGTAACCTACTCCAGATCCATGCAGGAAGCCCATAGCAGAGCAAGGATTGAAGACCTTTTGATTTCTAGCTGGTGCTCAGCAGGCTCATCGCACTGAAATACTGACTTACCAGCCTGTGGGTCTCTTTAACTTGTGTGGTTATGTATTTAGAAACTTGTGACAGGCTTCTCTTTGGCAGAGGAGTTGCAAGCTTTTGAGTTCATGGCATTAAGTACTCTTTCTAGCTCACTTCTTCACAACACACACAGAATCATGTGTAGTAACTATACTGATGACATAATACCTCATGTCTTTGTGAGTTTAAAGGAGGTTGAGAATAAGTCTATGAAAATCCCATTTTTTTCCAGGTTAAATATAGCAGGGAAAAATGCCACTAGTGGTTCACAAACTTCAGTTTATATGGAGACAGACCTTCCCTGCTTTGGGTGTGTGTGAGTTCAAGCAGGCTTTTCTCTGGCTGAAAATACTGAGGCCGTGGTTCAGCAGAAAATAGCCAGTACAGCTGCTGGGCAGTGGAGGTTCTTGGAGCCCCTTTGGGTTTGCAGCTGTGGAGGCAGGCTCCCGCGCCAGGGAGGCAGGTGGGAATTCGGTGCTGGTGGTGTCCGAGAGGGCATTCCTCCAGCAATTCCTCCCAGAGGTGGAGCTGGCAACTCCTTTTAGCCTTGCTGCTGCACATAGCCATGCGCTGAGACTGAGTGGGCTTGGAGTGGGTCCTGGTTTCCCCAGGAAGTTGAGAACTGCAGAACCTGCCTATATTGCCTGGAGCTGGGAGCATCAATGCACTGAAGTTTAAACATGAGGTGCTTGTAAGACTGATGCTTGGATGCCTTTGGCTTTGCAGTAGCCTCTCTTGCTTCGGGAGACTAACTGCATGTCGGTACTGCTCTTCATTGAGCAGGGGTATGTGGCAAAATCAGCCTGGGAAGAGGACTGTGGCTTCACCAGGGGTCTGTTAACTTCACCATGTTGGAGTGCTTTTGAACTAGTGACAAGTGATTATCATTTTGATTTTCCATAATACTAAAACAATACTGCCAACTCTTACGATATTAAAAGTTTCGGAGAAATGTCTGTAAGCACTAATGAAGAGGTGTGCTGCGTGTCCCCTTGCCACATCCCAAATGATCGGGATAAATGGGAGGACACACAGGATTTACCTCTTGGAGATTTTGCTCCATATTGAAGGCTGCTGCTTAAAATGGCAGTTGGGGTCCATCCTCTCAGTCTCTTTTGTTGTGGGGTTTTCATTCGTGGTGTCCCTTTCCTTCAGTATGTACTGACCACATAGAGATAGAAGCCTTGCTCTTCTCCTGTGTCTTTGCTGTGAAGGACTGTCAGGACCAGGAGGGAGAATGGGGGGGATGCAGGAGCAGAGCCTGTGCTGCTCCCACTGCCCCAGGAAGAGAGATGCTGAGGCATAGCGTGGCTGCCTGGTGCAGGTTTGGCACCAAGCCAGCATCTGGGCAGTGCAGAGTGCGGTACAGCCAGAGCAGAGTGAACCTTACTGTGGTGCAGTGCCTAATAATAACATTTGTATCCCTCAGCATCACTTACGTTGTGATACTAGCGTGGCCTGGTTGGACAAAGCTGAGGTAAACTGTGTTCCTTGGCTTTCCACTTTTATTTCTCTGCCTTAAAGGCCCTAACACGTGTAGGGCAAGCTGTAGGTCCGATACAGGGATGCGCTCAGTGCCTTCTTAACCATCACCAAAACAGTAGCCACAAAACATGCTAAAGCAGAAGAGCAGACCAAGCCACTTCTTGGTTCCTCTCAGCTCAGATACCGATGGCTACTCTGGTTGCAGCTGCAGCCTTCTTAATTCAGACACACTGATTTTTCGGTTGTAATGGAATCCCTGATGTTAAAAGCAATTTTATATTAAAGTTGGTTGGGCTGCTGAGGTGTGTAAAGCTAACTCAAATATTAGCAAGATCAGTGCTTGCATTAAGGCCAGGTGTAAAACCAAATGGTTATAACTGTGAATGTGCCTGTGGGAAAGAGAGGGGTAGAGGTGTGGTTATTAAAATGGATGGTCACCAAATTTGCAGTGGTTGCTATAAATAAAACAAGAAATAGCAGTAATTTTTCTACTTCTTGCTGGCTACTTGTCTTGGCTTTAGTAGGTAGCCCTGGTCTAGCAGGTACCACTTCAGTATCCTGCTGAAAGGAGAGGCAGCTGCTGATCATTTTGGCTGGTCCGTTGTGAAATAGAAACGTCCGTCCTCAGACCAGATTACTCCTTCCAAGTTGCACCTACGATGCAGCTGTAGTGCCAAATGTGAGCCTGGAACATGCAAGCACGGTCTCACGCAACATGAAGCCTGCCACCCTTTACTGTAGAGTTGTAAACACCGAAACC